CAGGCCAATCAACAATAACTCCCAACTTGGTGTCATCTGCAAACTTATTGAGGGTGTATTCCATCCCTTCATCCAGATTATCAATCAAGATATTAGACAGGGCCAGCCTCATTGCTGACCCTCATGGAACACCATTCATGACCATTTGCCAGTGGATTTAACTCCATTCACCACCACTCTCTTGGAAAAGCTCTCCAACCAGTTTTTACTCAGCTAAAAATATAGCTGTTTATAAGCCATAGGCTGCCAGCTTGTCCACGAGAATACTGTGGGAGACAGAGCCAAAGGCTTTACTAAAGTCTAGGTAAACTATATCTATAGCCTTTCCCTCATCCACTATGCTTGTTGCCTGGTCATACAAGGAGCTCAGGTTGGTCAAGCAGGACCTGCCTTTCATGTACTCATACCGGTCAGGCCTGATCCCCTGGTTGTCCTGAACATGCCAAGTAATTGCACTCAAGACAATCAGTTCCAAGACCTCCCCCAACACCAAAGTCAGGCTGACAGTTCCCCTGTAGTTCCCCAGATCCTTCTGACCCTCCTTATAGATGGGCATCACATTAGCAAGTCTCCAGTCATTTGAGACATCCACAGTTGACCAGGGCTGCTGATAAATGATGGAAAGTAGCTTAGCAGTCACTTCCACTAGCTCCCTCAGTATCCCCAGGTGGATCCCATCTGATCCCATGGACTTGTGACAGTCTACATGGAGTAGTGAGTTGCTAACTAATTCCTCCTGAATTAGGTGTTATTCTCCTCATCACCATCTTCCAGCTCCGGGGGCTGAGTACTCTCAGGATGGTAAACACTTTTTTTCCTGGAGTATCAGCAGAAGCTCTCTGTTCAAGCAGGCCGGTCTTCTCCTGTTGGGACCTAAAAGGAGGTTCAGAACTTGAATTTGTTCTGAGTTTATTTAGATCATCTTCTGTGCAGCCATGTAGTCCAGAGACACAAGCTGCAATCACCCCTATACACAGGTACCTCATATGTCACACTGAGCCTGATCCGAGCTGCCCACAGGTATGACACCAGGAGCTCTGTGGGATGTGCTTGATGCTGCTTATGGCATCAGCTGTGCCCTGTGATGCATCCCCGTGCTGGGACCTGTCCTCATTGACATCCTGGGCTCTTCTGTCACTACAACCCCAGGGTAAGTGTGGCTTTCCCTCCCCCCGTTCTGTACCAGAAGGGGAAAGGTGTCCCTCAAGCTCCATGTTAGCCTGTTAGTTCATGTTAGTTCACTGCAGAAGACAGGGTGGGTCTGAGGCCCCAGGCGCAGAGAAGCACTACAACAGCTGCATGAGACTGCCAGGTCCTGCAGGAGTCTATCAGCAGGTTCCTTAATGTTTTTTCTTTCTTGTCATTCCTAAACCAAAACTGAAACCATTGTATTGTACGACTCTGTGCTAGTCGTGTTTCAGGACAGTCTGCAGGTGCCCATGTGTGGAAGGGGTCTGGGCTCTCTCACTGAACAGGTAATATAACAGTGTGATCCAGTGCCCAGCAGCAGAAGCAGCTTGTCCGCTCCAGAAATGAGGCATCAGCAAATGAAACTCCTGCGTACACAGTGGGCAGGGGGCAGAGGGTGTTGCCTCAGACATTCCCTGCAGGTGCTGGCTGATGGGGCATGATCCCATGGCACAAACCGGCCAGTACAATGCAATCATTTCTGTTCAGGTGGAGAGGAGCAGGAAAGAAAATACCAACAGTCAACCATGGCAACAGGGGGAAAATCCTTCAAAAAAATGATATAGTATGAGGGTCCCTAGTACACCTCTCTCACTTGCTCACTCATTTCCTTGCTTTTTCATTCATAATCTTCTTTACATTTCCTCAGAAGTAATTTCAGCTCTACAAAAGCTCTCTGCTCCTTCTCCAGAAAAAGCTCAGCAGCAAGAGCAGTCCATGTGCTTTACCAATAGCACTAACTGCACGTGCAATGAAGCAAGTCCACTTGCCACAAACATCCAAATGCTGAGCACAGGTGATTGCTGTTCTGATCATTAGAACCTTCCTAGCAGCACCAGCTTCACAGACCTATCTTGTAACATGAGAGAGGGGACGTGGCCCATCCCATCCTTTGTCTCTGCTTACTGAAACCAGGTGAAGAAAGAATGTTTCTCAGACAAGTCTGTACGCGCTCCAGTGGCAGTCCAGATAGGGGAGCAGCCACAGCCCGTAAGAACAGGAATATGGCCTCACACAGATCTAACTCTTCGTGCCCTCACACCCAGCCTGGACTTGCAATCCTTGGGCCTGTATTTGTATCCTCATTATGAAAACCTCTCGTGTCCATAGGTGAGTCAGAGATATGAAGCATGTTGGACATGCTGCTCTGCCCATAAATGGGCTGAAAGAAACTGTAAAGCTCTCTCAAGCCTTTCTCATGAAAGAAAAATGACTTCCAAAAAAACTAATTAACTTTTGCTAAGGACCCTACATTCATATCTAGCTTGCAGTGTGATTCATGACAGAGGCCCCAGGATGCAACTACAACACAGGAGAAACGAAGAACAAAACCCACTATCAATAATAGCAAATTAGAAGAGGATGAGACTATTCACTCAACTTCATCCACCTGCTAAATTTGCACTGTGCTGAGATTTACTCTGGTTGTTTCAAATTACATTCTAGTAAATACTACAGCCCTTCCCTCTCAATTACTCTGGAGAAATCAAAGGTCAAACTCTTCTACATTTTCAGTATTTACTAAGGCACTTTAGTTTTATTGCTCTCCTCCTACCAGCTGTTTGGTGGTGTGGTTTTCCTTTTGTGGGAGTTTGTTTTTATTGGTGGTACCAGCAAAATCTGGGAATTAAACTTGCCAACTCAAATGACAGGTTGGAAAGCCAACATTATTTCACTGCAGGACTGGGTGCATGGGCAAGCATTCCCACTCAGCGTGCATACCTGTGATCCAAAGCACAGAGATTTTACACATTTTAACATGGGAATGTTCATACAATTTCTGTGAAGTACCTGCCTATTCCTGGAATCGCTGTACATATCAGAATGTGGTACTACACATGTACTGTGTTAATTTAAGATTTGAGTAGGATGTCTTTGGTGATAAAAGGTTGCATGTTACATAAACCAGGTGCCACGTATCTTCAGAAACCTATTTACAAAAAATATGGCTGTTGACTAAGTTTTTAACCGGTGCTTTGATATTGTTATCGCTCTTATTATCAACCCCAGCAGAGTAGTTTAACTCTTCCACAAAGTTGGTGGAGTATTGAGTCTCTGCTTCTTAGGCTGCAGATGTCCTCCTTATTATCTAGGAACAAAAACTTTCCAAAGAGAACAGTTCCACTGAGGTGTTCAAATTACTTGCTGAAAGTCCTTAATTTATTGGCAGGGAAGGCACAAAATCTATTAACAGCTATCAGAGGTGGGTTTTTTTCATTTGTTTCTTTTGAGGGGAGCTATGACAGTAAACAAAATCTCCCAACCTGCAACTCAGCAACCACTTCTTGCTGCCTTCTCCATGCTAGCCCCTCAGGCTGTAAACAGCTGTTTACGAGGGTTGATAGTGACAGGACAAGGGGGAACTGTCTTAAACTGAGACAGGGAAGGCTTAGGTTAGATATTAGGAGGAAATTTTTCACACAGAGGGTGGTGATGCACTGGAACAGGTTGCCCAAGGAGGTTGTGGATGCCCCATCCCTGGAGGCATTCAAGGCCAGGCTGGATGTGGCTCTGGGCAGCCTGGTCTGGTGGTTGGCGAACTGCACATAGCAGGGGGGTTGAAACTAGATGATCATTGTGGTCCTTTTCAACCCAGGCCATTCTATGATTCTATGGTGCTGAGAATTAGCAGAAGTTGTATAAAACGGCACAGATACAGACGCTTTTTGGTTCCCTCTGGTATGATGTTTGCCAGCTCAGACAAGTAATATGAACCCTCAAAACTGAGGACAGAGCATTTAGTTTGTCTGGTCTCAGGACAAATGTATTTCCAAACCCCATCAGAAAATTCATATTCAAACATACAGTGAGTCTAAACACAGGCAATTATCAGCCTACCAGCAGCCAGGGTACCACCCCAGCAAGGCACTCAGGCAGACACAGCTTTAAGTCCCCGTGTAAACGCTACTGACTTCAGCTGTGTGTGGAAATGGTCTGCAGGGTTTGTCTGTCGGGTCACCTGCTGTCCAGGCAAACAAGGGCCAGAACTGCTCCTCTCCCTGGCAATCCGAGGGCATCAGCAGCTGACTTTGACATCTTAAAATCGTTGCTTGGTGAATCTTACCCAGTAGCTCTTCCATCCCAACGCTCACTGACGGCTTCTTTTGTCCCTCACGAAAGCCGCTGTGACCCAGCCCGAGGCCCGCTCGCCAGGGACAACCCCCACGTCCCAAGGAAACCCATTCCCTTATAATTTCCTTCACTTTGAACAACGAGAGCGGGCACGGCGCTTACCGGCCAGAGCTCTCCTCCTGCTCCAGTGACCAGAGCACCGTTGGGAACTGCAGGAGCACCAGCTGGAGCAGATGCGCACACGGACGACCATCGGCGCGCCAGCCCGCCCAAGCGCCCCATTGGCTGCCGCCTCAGGCACCGCCCTGCTATTCCCCCTGTCATTGGACACAGCCCGCAGTCCGGTTCGCGCCCGCCCTCCGTCTCGTGCCGCCATTGGTTTCCTTATCCCCTTCTCTTCGTTCCCGGTTCTGTCTCTGAGGGCTGATTGGGCAGCTCTCATCATCTGGCTCCGCCTCGCTCCGAACTTTCTGCTTTGCGACTGGCCGGCAGCTCCCTTCCCCTCGTTCCCCGCTCGCTGATGGGCGTGCTGCTCTCCCCATTGGGCCGCGCCCTCACGCCTCGCTCCTCCCCCCGTGCTCCACAGCACGCCGCGTTCAGTCGCCGCTCGTCTCTTCCCCGAGCGTGACGTCTCCGCCGTCCATTGGGGGAAGCAGCGGCTCGCGCTTCCGGTGCGGCGCGGCGCGGCCGGGTGGGGGCAGCGGAGCGGCAGAGGCGCGATCGTGTCCGGCAGCGGCGGGATGGAACGGCCCGAGCGGGCTGCGGCGGCGCCGGGCGCTCAGCCCCGTGCCAACGGCTGCAGCGGCGCGGTCCACGGAGGGCTCCGCAACGGCTACGTGCGCGGCCTGCCCGCAGCCGACACCCAGGTCAGCGCGCCGGGAGTGTCCTGCCTCCCGGGCGCGGCCGGCAGCGATGCGAGGGAGGAGGTGGACGGGAGGGGAAGGGAGAGGGGGGGCAGGGCAGCGCCCGGCTCGGGAGTTCGGGGCGGGCGAGGCAGCGCCTCCGTGCTGGACTCTGAGCGGGCCGAAGGCAGCCGGCGGGCCGAGGGGAGAGCTGGGGGGCTGCGGCGGAGCCCCGCGGAAGTTCGGGTCTCGCAGCCCGGTAGTGGCCCGGAGCCCGGGGGCCCCGCGGGTAACGGTGGCCGGGCCGCTGCCCATGTCTGGGATGCCTGGCCATCCGGGCTGGCCGTCCCGTGCCGCTGGGTTTCTGTGGCTTTAAGCTAGAATCCCGCTCCCGTGTAACAGGTCCATGCTTTAGCAGAAAGCAGCAATTAGTTCCTTGATGCTGCTCTGTTGCTACAGGTGCAGTGTGTCCTCTGAGCAGGAGCTTCCTAATCTGGGAGAGTGAAGGGCTTTGTGCAGTGCTTCTCATCTTGCTGTGTTATGGATGTATTGCTGGGCGTTTGCACTTTCACAGTTCCAGTTGTTGTCCTGCAGAGCACCCAACTTTTGTGTGTTTTGTAGTTAGTGGTTCTCCCAGAAGCGGTCCCAGCAATATGGAACTTATTTTATCAGAGATCTACACCTGATACTGCTGCTGGAGAGAAGCTTTCCCCTGCTGATGTCCTTCCTATTGCTCCCTATTCTCCCTTGCAGTTCCTCAGGGAAAGTTCATACTGTCACTGAGTGAACCAGGTTGAGAACTGATGCAGGCTAAAGGCACGCTTTTTGTTTTTCTTCCCAGGTTTAACCCAGGTCATTTCCTGCATTTCTTTCCCTGGGTGGGCACTCATGGTCTCTCCCTGGCACTCGGGAGCAGATAGCAGCACACTGTTGGGAGTGAACAGTCGGGGGAGGTTACGACACCTTTTCTTGGCAGCTTATCCAGGTTTATTGTTGAGGAAGTTATGGCACTGTCAGTCTTGCTTTGCAGGCACCAAAAATTGCTCACTATGAAGCCTTAGGTTTAAATCTTTGTACTAAGCACGAGTAGTGGTGGTGTGTGTTCTGTTGTTCTTCTTTTCCACCCCCTCCCCCAGCCCGTTCCACACATTTTAAGTGGAGGTTCTGCTTTAGAAGAACAGCAAAGAATGGAGTGAGGGAACATTTTCTTCAAGGATTGTATACAGCTGCATGTTTGGAAAACGTGAAAGATGGAGTATGTGAATGGAAAAGCTGCTGATGTCAAGCTGAAGAAGTTCAGTGTGTTATGAGAATTCATATTCATTTGTTGGCTTGTGTATGATAGTGTGTTTGAATATGTCTTGCAAACCAAAGGCACTTGAGATGATCGCTTCTACAGGGAGGAACTCTTACTGTAGTGCTGATGATCATTAAACATCTTGGCAAAAAGCTGAAGTCTAGTCATGCAAGGTGATTATAAGAAAGCTTTAAATCTTTCTGGCACCTGCTTGTTGATCAAGAAGTTGTTTATGATTAAAAACCATGTGTTCCTTTCTCCAACATCTTACATGGTCCGGATCCCTGACTTTCAAATTGAGGGTCAAAGTGTTAAAAGTCCCTTAATTGATGCTTGGGACTGCTCAGGGCTACTCATAGTTTACAGGATTTTTTGTTTGTTTGTTTTTCAAATATCATCTGTTCTAGGAGTTCAGGACCCCCAAAGATACTGTCCCGAAAACAACAAAGATTTGGCTGTTTGGCTTTTTTTTTTTATTTAAATCTTCATTGCTCTGTCTCTCCATAGGAGAACATGTTAATGCTTATCGTGCGTTAAATATATTTGTCTGTGTAGGTAAACGTTTGCATGTATGTATGTACCATGTATAACACTTGAGAATATGCAAGTGGCAAAGTCTGTGGAATGCAAAGTAATTGAGTACCAAAAAGGAGGTAGCTTATAGGTGTAGTAACTGGGTAATAGAAAAGAACAGAAAAGTAAAGGATGGACAGGGAAAAAGATTCTTTTGCAAGAGTGCCTGTTTGGTGCCTGAGAGAAGTAAGAGGCAAGAAGAGAGGTAAGGTCTAGAGAAAATGAATATGTTGATGGAAAGAGGAAGGGGAAGAAAAGCCTTTGGTATAAGGAAGTGTTGCAAACGCTGATGATTTATCTGGAAAAACCTGGAGCTTGTGAGAGTATCACTCAGATACATCACCACACCTTCCTGTAGGGCTATGTAGGACAGGCAGACTTTATGTCTTTTTAACAGTGTAGAAAAATAGTAAGATTAACTGTACCTAAGATGTCTGTGCTGTAAGTTGCTCAAGTAAGCTTTATTTTATTCAGTTTTTTTTCCCCTATGAAAAAGTTCAGGTTCAAGGGGATTATCTTTACAGCACAAACTTCAAGTTGTGCTTACAGCTCTCACCACAATGAGAGACTGATATTTAAAATTGAATGTTCTCTACTGCCATTCCATCATGAACAGAAGAGGGGGGAATGTTCACCTTCATTTTTAAATGCTACTTTGTCTCCTGCTGGGATCTAAACTGCTCATCCTTTTTCTTGCTAAGAGAAGAAACCTGCCTGCTGAAACTGTGGGAGCTGACTTTGGCTGCCTTGGAGATAATGAAATATTATCAGTAGCTCAGAAAGGAATAATTTGAAATTAGGATTTCAGCATGTAAAGAAAATCATTCTGTTCAAGTACCGAGATAAAGAAAGAGCTGTTATTTTGCTTTGCTAGGAAGTCCTGTGTTCAAAGTACTTTGATTCTGCAAACAATCAATCTCTTTAGAGATTCAAATTCAGTGAGTGCAACAATCCCACTGTAAGCTTTTTTTGTTAAAACAGGAACAGTAAAAATGGTTGAAGAACCATCTAGTAATTAAAAACTGTGGAAAGTTAGTGAAAAAAGTGAGCAACTTCTGATGCTGTGTACATTTAAGAGCGCGTGATTAAAATAAACTAATATTTGAGTTCTTATGCTTTAGTGTAATACCACGCTAGGTAAGATGAAGGCCTGACGTCCCAGAGAGTATTGTCTTGAATAGAGGAAATAAACATAACTGAGAGAAAGAAAGCAAGTCAAGTAAAATAATAGCACTCCAGGTTGTGTGTGATTCTGCTTTTTCTGTTCTTCTGGTCTCTTGGAGAGGGTGCTATGTGGGCTCAGTAGAAAAAACAGTAGTGAAGTTTTATCAAGACACTTTGGAATGCTATTTAGAGTGCAAGAATAATCACTTTTTCTTTCTGTGATGCAATCTTAGGCTGGAATATGTTTCTCCAATGCAGTGTCTTTCTCTGAAACGAACAACTAAGGATTTTTTTAAGATTGTGTTAAAGTAAATAAATTCTTGCTTAGAGCAGGGAGATTGGGACCTATTTAGTAAGACAAGATGCCCATGTTGACTTATTGTAATCTGTCTGCTACTTTGAACAGAAGTTCACTAATGTGTTTTTCTGGATTTCTTAATTGAGCTTCTCACATTAGGATGGCTTCTCTTACAGTTTTAGATGTTGCTGAAGAAATAATCTCAAACTAAACAAACAAAAGAAAAAAATGGAATATAGGGTTGAGATTTCAAGTTTTTAATTTGTTGTGCACAGTACTTCCAAGTCAGTTACGTAAGTGTACTGTACAATACACTTATACAAAGAATTGTACAAAGAATTTTTAAATTTCTGGATGATTCTAGGTTTTCAAATACTGTGCTAGAGTGATCTCCAGATAGTGTATTACAGACATCCTTTAGTAAACAGGGTTTCACATGACTTCCTCAGGAAGGGAAGAAATACTTTGATTAAAGAGAGGGGGATGACTGAGAAAGCTGAATTCCTTTAAAACTGTTACAAGTCCTGAATTCTCACAGCATTAACACCAGCAGTATAAGCTTTTTGCTAGTAAGTTTGGCATGTACATGCTGAACACAGCTTCTGTGGTCCTTTAAGGTTACAATTAATCGCATTGCACAAAATCGTCTCATGAAGCGCTTCAGGGTGCAATAGAATGCTGGCTCCATCCTCATTTTATAGATGCTGTTGCTGGAATCGGATTGAGACTTCTTTGGGAGACTGTACTTCGGAAGAAGAGAACAAATACTGGAAGTTTTTCTCATTACAGCGAGTTCATGATTGCGGCGATATGAATAACCTTCGTTCGAGGTGAACGAATAACCTTCACTTGAGATGAAGGTTAAGATAAAGATTTTTGAATAACTCTGTCTGCTAATTTTATATTAACATAAGAGGTTTGAGTATGAAATTGGTTGGTTTTTTTGAGCCTGTGTGCAAATTTTAAAATGCGAGTACTTCATGACAGACAGAGAAATTGAATGCTCTTGGATCTTAAGAACTAAATCTCATGAACATACTCACGAGGAAGTGAGAACACATGGAGCACTGTGCCCGGTACTGAGCTTCCCATTAAGATAGTCACGCATCTTCATCGGTCTATGAAACCATTGGAGGGCAACAAGAGGCTGAGGAAACTGAAGCATACGAGGTATGAGGAGAGACTGAGAACTACATTTCTTAGCCTGAGGAGGAAAAGGTCCAACTGGTTGGTTGGAGGTTGTAGAGAAGATGGTTCCAGGCTCTTGAAACTGTGTGGCAATAGGATGAGAAGCAACATGTTATTTGGAAGAATGAGAAACACTGACTAGATATTAAGGATGGTTTTTTTTTGTGGGTTTTTTTTTTTTTTTTCATGAAAACAGTAAAATCCTGGAAGGAGTTCCCCAAGAGGCTGTAGTCTGTCCTTGGAGGTGTTCAAGCCTAGGCCGAATGTGGCCCTCAAGACCCTGCTGTGCTCAGACCTCCTCTGAGCTAGGGGTGGACATGATGGCCACTGGGGGTTTCTTCTGACTGGAACTAGTCCATGATTGCACAGATAAACTCCTGGACTTTAGGAATGTGCCCTGGGTTAGACATGAGTGTTTCATCCTTGAACCCCGATAAAATTGTAGATGTTAGGGTTTTTAGCATGTATTCTGAGGCTTGTGTCAGGCACAAAGAAATTTATTGC